GGGGGTCCCCCGCATGGTGTGGGGACTGTTGTTCTCATACGTGGGGGACTATCCTGAGACTTGCAAAGTAACCTGCACCAAGGAGCAAGGCTCTTTCAGGCCGTGCTCGGTGTGTTACGTGATGCGCGCGCGTCTCCGGGATATGGAGTGCCTAATGGCAGACCCGCGTACCGTCGAGCAGCAGCGTGTCTTGTTCGACGACGCACAACAAGCTCCTCTCTACAGCACTCTGCGTATCCGGGTAAGGCCAAGAGATGGTGCAAACCCTTAGTTGCAAACGTCGGGAACGATGTGTATCACACAGATTGTGTGTTCCGCGCTTGCGCAGTCATTCCTGTGGGAGTTTCGCTACAGTCATGAGCCCTGGGGTAACACCTACCTCAGCTGTATGCCGGATATTCTTCACATCTTGTACATTGGTGTGTGGTTGTACATCCGCACCGGGATCAGAGGAGACGGGGAGGCGGCAGCAGCCAAAGTCAGGTTGGGCTATCATTTCCGGGAACCCTGGCACACAGATCATGTGTCCGGCTGCACATTCTTGCTAACCCTCGCCCCGGCTGTATAACTCTTCACGCAGCTTCTTCGAGGACAGCTATTATGATGCGCGCCTTGCTGGCGTTGATGTCCCGCCATCTTTCCACTATTGGTTGCACGGTGCTAATCACACGGCATCGGAACATGCCGGGATGATGATGGTGAGTTAGATGCCCTAGGCTGTGTGTAAGTAGCGTCACCCGCAAATCCCGACCTACTAACCCACAACATGTGGTATTCCGGTGTGTTTTGTTGAGCCACTAACCAAGATGGCGCCCATCTTGGTTGAAGGGGAGCTGACCACGGTGCAACACAAGGCGCTCGTGACCTTCATGGAGTGGCACGAGACGTATGTGAAGGCACCGTTCCACACCAACGAGTCGCTGGCTGCCATGGAGCGTGACACCAGAATGTAAGCCCCTGGTTCGGATTGCGGCTGTGGGTATGTTGTGTTCCTTCATCTTATCCAACTTTGGTGACCTGCACGTACATGCAGAATGGTCCAACGGATTGAGGCCTTGCTGCCGAGAGGCGGAGATGGGTGGAATCTCATCAAGATCCACATGCTTCGACATTGCCCTGAGGCGATTGCGCGTGCCGGGCTGCTTGGAGAGTACTTAGCAGCAGTATACGAGAATGCGCACATACGCACGTGCAAGGACCCATACCGTGCATCCAACCGATGTGCGATTGAGCTGAGCATCGCACGTCACAATGAGAACCAGGCGGTCCTAGCCTCGCTACCATCGATGGAGGAGGCAACACGGACGTACGACACGGCTCTGACCAAGGTAAGTAATCTATGTTTACAGCATACGACGCAAGGATACGGTTCAAGTATATATTGATGTTGCTTCCTTGTTTTGTATGAGTGGGGTGAAGGCGGAGCGGAGTGGCACGCCCTGCCTTACAAACAGCAGGAGACGCATCGACAACAGTGCAGGTGGCTTGCATCTAGTTTTGGCGGAGTACGATGCAGCGCTATGATACGGCATGGGGGCGTACGCAGATACGATGAGGCGCCGTGGCTACCTAGCCTTCCCGGCATGGGTGAGTGGATGTGCGCCCTCGCTGGAGAGCATGGTGCAATGGCATGAATATCTCTTACTAACACCACGACCTACGTCCCGCAGGTGCATACCGCTTTGGCAGTGCCGGCAAGCCCTAGCCGGGGGGGCAGGCTGCAACCACACTACGTACGGGCCGTGCCTCGGTATCACGGACACCCTGCGTTCTCGTGGGTGCAGCTTAGGTCCAGGGACGGCCAGAGATGCTACGCCCAAGTGTGCATGTTGGTCAAAGCCGTGCCCGAGCCCTCAGGCAGCGCAACAGAGTCCCATGCAGTGGCGTTCATACGGAGAGTGACTTGTGGTGATGTGGACGCAGAGACCGGATGCCACCGGCTGTCATGGTCAACAGGGAATGGGGGGTTTGATGTCGTGCGCGTGTGTGACGTGGTACGGTCGGTCCACGTTATGAAGTCCCGGAAAACGCCCGGGACCTGGCTGCTGAACAAATGGGCTGACCGGTGCCGTGAGGTGTCAAACCTGGACACATGAGTCAGTTGGATTACTGCCGTGTGTAAGCAGCAGACCACGGGTAAGTTGTACGTCCTCGCAAGATGATAGTTCAGCCTCGCGCATCGTTACGTCCAACTAAAGACTCTGCTAACGAGGTGTGTATGCTCCCTTATCGCCCCGACAGGGACTGTGCAATATGCAGCCCTCACCGTACGAGGGGGGGGGGGATGGCGTGCGTTGGCGCCGGCTGGCTGGGCATATAATGGAGGCAGGATAGCGTCAGAATCCCTCTACCATGATGGGTGTGCCCTGATGCACTCGCACAATCTCACTTAACCGCATGTATGTTATGTCCTAGGTGATAGTTGCACTCACCTGTTTGTAGTTGAAGATGCGCTTGTGCTGAACATGTGTGTTCTGTTTTTTAAGGCTGCCCAAATGTGTGCAGAGAGACAATAGCGGTCGTGAAGTCATGTTTGGCCGCGCACGTACGTTGAGGGAAACTCCAGCCATGCCTTCAGCTTCACCGGTGGAGCTTGCTTGGGCGTGACTGTTCGTTGCTATATGTGATATCCTGGTTCTCACACAAACGTGTGCAAAATCATCCGAACCATGTTCAGTCTAAGCACCTCTTGTAGTTGTCCGCGAGAAACATGTGTGGAACATCTCGGATTCTGCGACCCTCATCAGAGAGATAGTTTACCTGTTGTTTAAGTATGGGCGGAGTGCCTTGCAAGATACATTGGGGGCAGCGTCTCAATTTGGTTTGATTAGGTACTACGTTGGTCAGCGGTGGCATAGGGTTGTAGAGTTTGTGGCTTCTTGAAGGGTAAACCCTTTTGAAACAATATATGTAGCGAGGTTTCTGTAAAGCGAATAGATACGAGATTGGTTCGGTTCCACGTAATGTGGCATCTGGTTGGATGACGGACTGGACTTCCGCGCAATTCTACAATCTGACGCATGGCAGGGCACTTGCTGGCAAGTTCGGGGCTTGTTGGGGGGTGACATCCTGTGGTTACATCTAGGTGACCTCCGTGTGTGGGAAGGATGTAGGGGAGGCAAATTTTCGGGAGCAGCCGGCTACCGTCCTGGTAAGTACTCTCGCTGCAAAACAAATGGAAGAACTCGCACCCACTGTTTTCTTGTTCATTAACTCTTCTACGGTCTCTCAAACACTCATCGCAAAATTTCTTTGTGATTAGTCCTTCGCACGTCGCTCACGTCTCCTTGGGTCTTTTTCTGACATCCCGTGCTCGTGCCTTATTGCGCCGCGCAGAAGCCTTTTGCGAAGAGCGCGGTCGCTCTCCAGGACCTTCTGAAGAACCACATGCTTAACTTCCAGGCCCTACCCCCGCGCTTCGTGAAGGACAAGGTTGGCCAGGGATACGGCACGTTCCGCACCAAAGGCCAGATTCAGAAGTACCAGGGCGCCGGCAAGACTATTAGCTTGGGCCCGCAGTTTGCGCAGCAGGGCACGCAGCTGGCGAACATCACCAAGGTGGTGTTCAAGGACCCCACGGCTATCTGCTACGAGATCGGCATTTGACCGATCCATTCATGCCTTTTAGACCGCAGCAATGCCCAACGGCGACTAACGTAACGTCGCGCCGACCGCCACACCTAGTTGCTGCCGAGCAAGTCGAGCAGTTGTAAGCAGCCGTGAGACCTGGCCAGCGCCAGCATTTTATCAAACACCGACACACGCGTCGCCCGCACGCCACCGCTCATCGGCTCCTCTTCCTCTTCGTCCGCCGCTTACTGTGGTTACTCTCCGCCCTCCTCTATCCTTGCTCTCGTCCGCCGACTATGATTTTTCTCCGCCCTCCACTATCCTTGCTCTCGTCCCCTTTCCCCCCCGTTTTCCCATCTCGTCTCTTTTTATCGGTACCGCGCCTTCTGTCCTTTTCAAATTTCGTGCCTGGATATGCTTGGTCGCGTCTCATTTAAAATAACACCTCCGTTATTGGAGGGCGAACGACGAAATTTCTGGGCTCACCAAACACGGACGTGCGTAACGAATCTATTGTAGTACGCTAGGTAATAAGAGCCGCGAGCTTTAACTTGCCAAAGTAGCTGAACGTGCTAGCAGCCGTATTTATTACAACAAACCGTACAAAGCATGTGTATGCACTATCACACCACCTCGAAGGTATCCATGGCTGCAGAAACTAGGAAGCGCTAAGTACTTTCCTACAATAAAGTCTGGCACCTGTGCTGCTAACATGTGAAGAGACCATGCGCGCGCTGTTGCTAACCCCACAACTTCTCCAGCTACTTGAGAGGAACGAGGACGTTGCTGATCTCGTAGCAGATAGCCGTGGGGTCCTTGAACACCACCTTGGTGATGTTCGCCAGCTGCGTGCCCTGCTGCGCAAACTGCGGGCCCAAGCTAATAGTCTTGCCCGCGCCCTGGTACTTCTGAATCTGGCCGTTGGTGCGGAACGTGCTGTATCCCTGGCCAACCTTGTCCTTCACGAAGCGCGGGGGCAGGGCCTGGAAGTTAAGCATGTGGTTCTTCAGAAGGTCCTGGAGAGTGACCGCGCTCTTCGCAAATGGCTTCTGCGCGGCGCAACAGGGCACGAGCCACGGGTTGTTAGAATGGCAAGGGCAAAGCAAGATTCGAGGCATGAGCGACGAGCGACGGACAGAGTTTGGCAGAGTTTGGCAGCGAGGGTACTTACCAGGACGGAGGCCTTCTGAACCTTGAACGCCGCGTTTGATGGCACCAAGCAGGTGAAGCCAGTGGTGGAGGTGGAGAGGTAGTCAGTGATAAACTTCGTGCCTGCGCTCCACAAAAACCTCGACGTCAGTTAGGTCACGCGGAAGAGTACTGCGAAGAGTTTCGACGTTACGTCAACTGACGGATTCAATATTAAAATTTCGACCGACTCGCAAAACCGAGGGAAGAGAAACTGAATAGCATTGAAGGAGTCTACGTACCTGCTTTGTTAACGATGGAAAGGTAGGTGCTGTGCTGGCCTCCCTTCTGCAGCGCCTGTGTGATGAGAGTCCACTGCAGAGTTCCATCGCGAACCACTTTCGCCGCAGACACACACGCGGCGCACGACAGCGCTAGGACGAGTAAAGCGATGAAGGAAACACGAGCCATGATCGAGAGCTGGAGTGCTGGAATTGAAGATGGAAGAGGCTGGAGAGTTTGGGAGGCTGATGAGGAGGAGGCGTGATCAAATTTGATGATGAATTAGAAACGAGTGCTGATGACTTTTGTACCTCCAAGGCTGCCTATCAGGTGTTGTTGACAGGAAGTGTGACTCGATGGCTCGAATTCGTGGAGTCACTGAAAACGGGGCTGCCTCACGCAGCGCCTTTCATGATCAGCGTTGCGCGGCTGTCTGTCCGTCGGTCGGTCGGTCGTGTGGTCGTGAGTGTCGCTGATTCGGAGATCTCGCGCTCACTGCGACGAGTCGTGCCGCGATGCGTTGTCGCATGTCCCGTGACAACTGGTTTGGGAAATGAAGTGGGATGGTACTGTCGCAGCGCATGGTCGGAGTCACTCCACGTGCGGCTGCCCTCAAAAGAGCACACCCTGGGCGTACGAAGCGCGGTCTGTAAGCAAAGTTTCGTGCACTGGTATTTAGGGTACCGTGATGTAGTGGGTCGCTGTTGGGGAAAATCTCTGTCCGTTGGACACGATCAGCGCTGTATGGCTCTGCCCGTTAGCGGTTCTGCGCGGGAGTTCCTGCAGTCAGGCATGTCAACCATCCACATGTTCTCAACTTGACAGTACCTCACTCCATCCCCTCCACGCAGGTCTCCACTACGATTATGTTTCTCGCTTCCCACCCTAAAGATCCACACACAACGATACAATGTTTGGCAGCAGAAAGAAACTGGAAAGTACTGTTGTGTAATGCTAACAGAATTTACACAATTTCTATATCATATGAGATTTATGGTTAGGATTTATTTCTTAAGTTAGCAGACTGTTTTTTCTGTACAGCATATAGCATCGTTGAAACTTGAAATACATTACAAGAAGTACTGCAGAGTTTGAAATTTCAGTCCCTAGATTCTTCGGCAATCCTAGAGCATTGGTCTTAGACAGCAAGATGAACAATGGGAGGAGAGACATAAATGAAGGAGAAAGGAGGTGGAGAAGGAAAGGGAGAAGGAAAGTAGAACTGCCATAAAAAACCCAAACGCAACACCCATATGGGAGAAGGAAAGTAGAACTGCCATAAAAAACCCAAACGCAACACCCATAAAAAGCCTCATGAAATTACCCAAACTGAACATCCAGTCAGGACACCCCATCAAGACACCCCATCCCGCACCCCATTTCACCCCCCCTCAGTCACATCTGTGCATCCACCATGTACGGGGCCTCCACACAAAGAGCCCCGCCCTCCTCCTCGACGTCGTCCTTCTCCCAGTCCACCAAACCCGCATTCATCCCCCCCCATGGAAGACGCCACCCGAAGCAGGATGACACGAGCTTGCGCCCGTTGTAACGCCACCCCAATGAGCGCCTTCATAGACCCCAACAGATAAGCCGAAAACGAAGTGTCATCCTCCCGACAAGCCCCCCGTGACACGGCTAGCCCCACGTGCACGTCCCCCTGTCGATGAAGCCACCGCCGGAAACAATTGCCGAGACACCCCCACGTCTCTACGTTCAAAGGGGTGAACTGTACGCCCCGGTTGCGTGCAAGCAGAGGTGCGTAATCACTCGTTTTGCGACGCTCCCACTCCCTTGCCGACACACCTGTAGAACAAGCACACTACCCTAGCAGAGATGGAGACAGCGATAGCGGGTCCGCGACGCTGATCTCTATGGTGTGAGCCTCCCCGGCCATTGGCCGTCGCACCGCTACGTCAACCCGCTTCCCCGGCAGCACCACACTATCTCCATCGTCACCACCCCCCCTAACGCCTTGGAGATCCTTGCCACCGCAAATTTCACCTCATCATGCACCCGAGATGGACCGTGCTGGTACTTGCATCGCAAGGCATGATGCAGGTCTGCTGGGTCAACATACGCTGTGCCACAAACACACCTCCCCGCCACCTGCAGCTACGGAATTGGGAGCCCGAACCGTATAGCAGCAGTGTGTCAAACTTATATGCTATAGTCTGTGTAGGCTGTAGTGGGGTAGACAATATAGGGTACAACATTTCTAGGTTTTCCTACTTGTACCCACCTCTTTCCTAGTTCATTCATTCCTCATTTCTTCACATGGTATAGAGCAGGTTCCCTAGTGGGAATGCTTCTCAAGGCCCACCACTGAAATCGACTTTTTTTTCCTGACCGGAGCGCGAGTCGCCCCTGCCCGAGGCGCGCCCCGTTGGCCGCCCTCACGTCGCCTCTCACGGCCCCTCGCGCCACCCTTAGCGGCCCCGTCGCCACCCCTTACGGCCCCGTCGCCGTCCTTAGCGGCCCCGTCGCCGCCCCTCTGGTCCCCTCGCGGCCCCTTCGCGGCCCCGTCGCGGCCCCTCTAGGCCCCTCGCGGCCCCTTCGCGGCCCCGTCGCCGCCCCTAGCGGCCCCGTCGCCGCCTTTCGAGGCCCCTCGCGGCCCCTTTGCGGCCCCGTCGCCGCCCCTAGTGGCCCCATCGCCGCCCTTCGAGGCCCCTCACGGCCCCCTTTCGGCCCCGTCGCCGCTCCTAACGGCCCCGTCGCCGCCCCTATCGGCCCCGTCGCCGCTCCTAGCGGCCCCGTCGCCGCCCCTAGCGGCCCCGTCGCCGCCCTTCGCAGCCCCGTCGCCGCCCCTAGCGGCCCCGTCGCCGCCCTTCGCGGCCCCCCCCTCGCCGCCCTGTGAAGAATGAGGAATGTGAAGAAGAGAGGATTGCACTAGCAGCAGTTGGCATACATATAGGAAACCCTAATTGGGTTGTACTCGCTATAGAGTACCCCACTGCAGGCTAGACAATTATAACATTCTGACACACCCCCATAGCCAAAGTGGGGTGTAATCAGCACAATGAGCAAGCAGGCATAGAGCAGGAGTTCAGAATAGCGAGCAAAGCTAGAGTTAATCACAGCGGGCAAGTGAGGAGGAGGAGGAACTGTGGAGGGAGAGAAGATGGGAGGCAACGACTGAAGCTGCAGAGGCACGGGCACAGGAGCGGCTGACTCAGTGGCTATCGAAGCAAGGGCGACGGACTAGTGGAGTAACTGGCCCCGCGGCTATAGACGAGCGGCAGGAGCAACGGACCCACTGGCGACTGGTGCAACAGGCTCACTGGCTACCGAAGCAAGGGCGACGGACTATAGGCGCTGCAGGCGACACGACAGCTACCTTCACACAACCTCCTCCAGCTGCCCCACACCTCTCGACACACACCCCCTGCTCAAACCCTAGTTCTACTCCCAAAGCACCCCCCTTTCACACACCCCCTGCTGCACCCTAGGTTCACTCACACCCCACCCCCTAGCACCATTCCGTCGACTCCCACACACCCACCCCCCTCAGCGGTAGCTGCAGCTGTGGGAGACAGAGGAGAAGGAGGAGCAGGGGAGACCACACACCCGCCACCCCCTACTCGCCACCCCCAAACCCTAACACAGGGCAGGGCGGGATGGCGGGTAGGGAGGTTACGGGGGGGGGGAGGCGACGCGCGGCCTCCCAGGGCGCCAAAACAGGCGGCAGAAGGGGCGACGCTCGCCCCCCCCCCCCCCCGGTCTGTCAAATCATAATGTTCTGTAGGCTGTAGTGGGGTAGCCTATATGGGGTACACATTTCTAGGGTTGCATATTTGTACCACTTTCCATTCCTTAGTGCACTCATTCTCGTTTCAATTCTCACATGGTATCGAGCAGGTTCCCTCGTGGGAACTGTGCCTAGGGCCCACCACGTCGAATTTTTTTTTTTTCTGCCCGGAGAGCGCTCTGCCCGAGTCGCGCTCCCTTCTCTGACTTCGTCGAGCCGCCCTAGCGGCCAAGTCGCGCCGCCTTAGCGGCCCCTGATTCGTCGCCCTAGCGACCCCGTCGCCCTACCTACGACCCCGGCCCCGTCGCCCTACCTGCGCCTCGGCACCGTCGCCCTACCTGCGCCCCGGCCCCGTCGCCCTACCTGCGCCTCGGCCCCGTCGCCCTACCTGCGCCCCGGCCCCGTCGCCCTACCTGCGACCCCGGCCCCGTCGCCCCCCCCCCCTTGCGACCCTGGCCCCGACGCCATACCTGCGGCCCCGGCCCTAGCCCCGTCGCCCTACCTGCGCCCCGGCCCCGGCCCTGTCGCCCTACCTGCGCACCGGCCCCGTCGCCCTACCGTCGACCCGGCCCCGTCGCCCTACCTACGGCCCGACCCCGGCCCCGTCGCCCTGCCTACGGCCCAGCCCCGTCGCCCTACCTTCGACCCGGCCCCGTCGCCCTACCTACGGCCCGGCCCCCGCCCCGTCACCCTACCTACGGCCCGGCCCCGGCCCCGTCGCCCTACCTTCGACCCGGCCCCGTCGCCCTACCTGCGCCCCGGCCCCGGCCCCGTCGCCCTACATGCGCACCGGCCCCGTCGCCCTACCTTCGACCCGGCCCCGTCGCCCTACCTACGGCCCCGCCCGAACCGCCTACGCAGCCGAGCCGCCCGCGCCGCTCAGCAGCCCGAGCCGCCCGTTCCGCCCGAGCCGCCCGAGCCGCCCGAGCCACCCGAGCCGCCCGAGCCGCCCAAGCCGCCCGAGCCGCCCGAGCCGCCCGAGCCGCCCGAGCCGCCTGAGCAGCTGAGGAGCCGAGCCGCGGGTGCCGCCGAGCCGCAGTTGCTGCCGAGCCGCCCGAGCTGCCCGAACCGCCCTGTCTGGTCAGTGCAGCGCCTCTGTCACTGCACTGCCCCTGCTCTACAGTCTACTGTTGTCATGGCTACCCCTAGTGTCCTCGCTTTTGACGCCGAGGGTCGAGCCATTGACTTTGACGTCTGGATAGATGACCTGCAGCTGTTCTTACAGTGCGATAGGGCAGACGGTCTCTCCCTCTTTGACCTCACCTCTGGTGCTTCTCCTGCTCCTGCTGCTGATGCTGACGCCACTGTTCGCTCACAGTGGGCCACGCGCGATGCTGCTGCACGTCTTGCTGTGCGTCGCCACCTCCCTACCTCTGAGCGTGCGCACTTTAGTCAGTACAAGAGTGCTCAGACCCTGTACGACGCTGTAGTTGCACGCTAC